ACATGACCACTCTTTTCATGCCGCCTATCCCTTTGATTGATGAAGGAGTTCTACTTTAACTCCATCATGTGTCATCCTCTGATTGGTTCACCTGTCGACAAGAATGTTACAAAAATGGGTGCAAACAATAATACTAGCTAATTACTGAATTTAAGTTTTGGAAGTGTCATCAAGAAAAGCAGGGACTAAAGTTTCAATCATTGATTCATTTACTAAGGTTGAAATTCATAAAGTTTTTCTTTTTTGGCATCTTCAGCACTGATGGCTGAAGCTCATGCATGCTTTAAAGTAATGAGATGGTGTGGAAAACAATATAAAGTCAGCAACTATTCTCACTGATTGCCGAGTGCTAGTCAAAAGACTTGAGAAAAAGAAAGATTGAGAGTGAGTTGTAAATATATTTTATTAAACATTTATGAATTTTGTAAGTATTTTGACTATGTTTGTATTACTAGGTTGGTTAAAAAAAAAAAAAGATTGAAATTCATAACTTTTCACGTGAGAGTGATAGATCTTAGCCAACTAGAAGAGAGAGAGGGGTTAGGGAGTAGAAGTACTACCTCCTCCAAAATTTTATGAAGTTCACTCAAACTCAAATTTTGTACCTCATGCAATGGCTACCTAATCTACCACTTTTAAAATTTTATAAAGCCTAATTTGTATAAGGGTTGTTTTTAAATTTAATATTTCATGTGATGACTCTTTAAAATTTTAATTTAGTGACCACATGTTAAAAAATCTTGCATTAAACAAAAAAAAAAAAAATATATATATATATATATAGTCTACCTGATCAGTGTCAAATCATATTAAATAATAGAACTTTTGCTAAAATCAACTAAACTTTGTTACAAAAAATAATTTAGTTACCTATGCAAGTTCCTATATTTTTGGGAAAGTTACTGATAAGTCCCATGTACCAAGTTCAAGATCCAGCTAATTCCAAAACAAAACACTTGCACCAATTAGTCCAATACATTTTTAATTGTTACCAAAAATATATATATTTTTTTTAATTTAGAGACACTGTTCACATCTTACTACCGTCGGACTTCCGTTTAACGGTCGCCAAAGACTCACCGGAATGTCTAGAATATTGCTGGAAAAAAAAATTAAAAAACATGTTATGAAACTGTAAAATTTTACAGTTCTAAAGAATGTTATAAAACTGCAAAATTTTACAGTTTTAAACCATGATTCATTCCAGCACCAAAAAAAATTTTGAAACTGCAAAATTTTACAGTTTTCACCGCCTGTAACTAAAACTCGAAAACTACTTGTTCAGAATTCGAAAATTTTCTCCATTAAAACAGAAAAACAGAAGTGTATAGCAAAGAAAAAAAAAAGAGATCGAAGGAGAAAGGCAGATGTAGAGAGAGGATTGTACTCCGACAACTATTTTTTGTTTAGATCTAGCCAAATCTGATGTAGATCTACTCAGATCTGATAGATCTGAGTAGATCTACATCAGATCTAAGTAGATCCACTCATCTTCTTCGTCGGAAATATATATCTTCGCCGTCGGTGAGAGTGAAATCACGAGTTGATTTCGATGATTGGCGGTTATCAGTGAACCCCGATCAATGGAGAAAGACATGAACACTTGCACCATCGTCTATGACGAAGACGATGAGAGAAAAATGTAGAAAAAAAGAGAAAGAAGAAAACGTAAAAAGGGAGAAAAAAACCAGAGAGATGGAGGAAAGGACTTTTGGGTGTACCCAAAAAATTATGGAATTAAATGGTGTTCACATGTTCCACATGGGACCTGTGGGTAATTTCCCCTATATTTTTTTAGGTGAACCACTTGTGAGGCTTTTTGGGTCTATGAATATTGACTAACATTCAAACAATTACAAAGGCATTTGGAGAGTGAGTAGCATTAGAATGTCTAATTTAAAACTCGTCTCTTATAAATTTTTATTAGGTCAATTGATCTATATTAAGTAATATTTTAATAATTATTTAATCAATCGAAATCCTGGCCCGACCCATCATTTGCCGGGCAGAATCTACCCCATTTCTCCCTCCTCGCCCCAATAATAGAATCAGAATCCTGACTCTACCCCTATTGAGACAACCTCTCGATGCAATGAAATCAACATCTTACACACACACACACACACACAAAAATTCAAATTCTCTTCTAACTATACAATTTTGATAAAACTATGGTGTAATGTGCATTAAAATTTATTTTGAATAAAATCCATGTTACCAAATGTCCTAATAAGTTGGCAAAGTCAAATCCACCTTTTGTTGGGTTTAGTTAACCCAAACTACAATTTGCTTAAGTTCAGTCAAGTTGGTGGGATTATTTATGTAATAGTAAAATAAAGGTCACTAACAACATTTTTTTTTATTATTATACTTTTTACTTAAATTCACATAATAAATATGATATCCACATGTAAAATTCACTATAGCTAAAAAATATAATATTACTGTCTAGTATGATCACACCTATTCTATGTGCACAACTTCAAGGTATAAAAAATGAAAAATGCCAAGTAAACAACTTCTATACAAATTTTCCTTTTATAATGATGTAATAGTGATATTCTTACAATTATGAATAATATTTATGAGTCTTTTTTTTTAACTAATTACTTGTGAACATAACTGGTTGATCATTTTACCTAGTCCAAAACATTCATGTGAATTTGAGAATTTTGAATTCTTTACTTGAAAAATGTCATTGGGACAATACGAGCTAGATATCATTGCCTATCTTAAACGCAATCCTAACTACACAATCAAGCCTCAAGATTCTCGTTCATATAATGCGATTCGAAGAAATACATTTGGACATGAAGCAATTTTGAAAGTAAAGGATCCTAATCCTTCTTATGAGATGCGAATATGGCACCTATGATATGGTTTCACTTCAATGACGTAACACTCCGAGCTAGGTAAGGGCATGAAATTCTCTGTCCTGGATCTTTATCCCCTATCTCTAATGCAATCCCAACTATACAATCATATCTCAAAGTTCACTCATTGAGTTAAACAAGATATGTAACTTTTAGTGACTGTTGGATATGTAAAGTTCATTGTTGGAATGAGCTCACTTCATCTATCTATTTAATGAGCTTCTTTGACCTAATCAAGCTTTTCAATGAAATGATCTTCAACAGTGGAGACATGTTCAGGAATCCTTGAACTATCTGCATTTACTTTACACAGCATTTCAATGCAACATTCCTTTATCTTGAGATAAGTTTTTTGAAAAATGACAACAATCCAGTTACTGTATATCTATCTATATATGAATATCATATTCAAGATTATGTGTAACTGCTGTTATTGATCAAAGGAAATAAGGGTTCTTGTCAAACCTAGGTTCCAAATAAAAGGAATAAGAAGGTAATATTCAACACAATTCATTATAAGATCAGCAAAGACAGGCTTCCATGCAAAAAGCTTGAGATCTATGTTACATGGACTCTTCAAATTAAATCAAATACCAACGTCGGACACCTGACACTCGGACAAGGGTATGGGATATGTGTCGGATACTTTTCAACGGATACTTCTTATATAATTATATATAACACTATTATTATATGTATATATTGTTATATAATTGCTATAAATGTCATTTTGACACTATAAGTTAAATATAATACCATTTTATCTCACATATTAGATTAAAAATATAAAAATATGACATTTTTTTGCCGAGTCCGCGTATCCTTAAATTTATGATTTGATGAGTCCGACCTCTAGATACATACCCACACCCGACACCTGTACCCGAGTCCATGTAACATAGTTTGTTTATACTTTTCTGTGCACTACCATTATTGTTAGAAGAAGAATAAAGAGATCAAATAGAAGAGACATTTAAAAGATGGTCTGATAATGAAATTCGATACCAAGACAAAAAAGCAGTGGTACATAAAGAATGAGGTCCATCAATGAGTCATGAAAGTAGACCTCATTCATTATATACAATCTCCATCAAGGTTGGAGATAAATTGGTTTAAAAAATAGCCAAGAAGTTAACCCCAAGGTGTTGGCCTAGTAGTAAGGCCTTAGGTCTTGGAGTTGTGCTCCCTCCAAGGTTCAGGGATTGAAATCTTTTAAGTGCTAACAATTCATTGAGGCCATCAGATTGGGAGAAAACCCTTGCATTAACCCTGATGCACTTGCAAGAAACCTCTTGCTGAGTGCCTGTGCACCCCTGGGATTAGTCAAGCTTTGATCCAGATATTCTGGTGCCAATCCAAAAAAAAAAAAGAAAAAAAAAGGCCAAGAAGTTGTCCAATACAAACATGTCCATAACCACCTCACCAAACACAATGTAATAAAATAAAAATGTTACGATTATTATATTGATTAAATTTTTTTCACGGATAATATACATTGATGGTCTTACAAAATGAATGGTTCGAATCATTGAAATGGGCTTGTGATGGACCCCGTGGGCATGAACTTGAGAGAGATTCAACTAAAAGAGTGTTAAAGTGCACATGCTTAATGTTCCTAAAATTTTCCACAAATGGCACCTGTATAATTTGCTGATATTTTGACAACCTATGAAGCACGCACACTTCAAAATAGGCGCCGTAGCGGTGCTAGATACAGGGGGACATGCATGTTCAAAATTCAAATATGGATAATCTATTAATTTGTTCAAATTTAGTGGTTTATATATATATTGAATTAATGTTAGTTTTTATTAATTTTGATTATTTAGTAACATAATATTAATCTACATAACAAATATATATAATAAAAATAATAATAATTTGACATGTCCATGCCCCCATTTTTTTGAAATCACTGTGTCCCATATCCGTATCTGTGTTTGTGTCCGTGCATAATTTTGACAACCTATTAAAGAAGAAGCGTAAGTGCAGGCATGCACACAAAAGAATAAAGAATGCAAAACAAAATCCATTATGTCACTTCAAATATATATATATATATATATTTTATAAATATTACATCACTACAATTTTTATTTTATAATAATAATAATAATAATAATAATAATAAAAAGAACTGTCTAAGATCCTGTATCCTGCATCAAATTCATGAGTTCCATTTTGCCATCATTTCTATACACTATATATAGTGCATAAACTCAAATGTAATTTAACTCAGCTCAATACATCTAAATAAAGAATTATCATGAATATTTAATTTCACACAATACCCTTTTATTCAGCATTCCATTTGATGAACATTACAATGATTACTCATTTGAGGGCTTCTTATAGAAAAACAAGATCATGTCATCCATTCTTGCCCCCCTCATTGGGAAAAATGTATTTGACAAAACAGCCTATTACAAGATCGACAATTTTCACTATTCTCATCCATAAGGTTTGACTATATAATTTATAAGATAACCAACCTGAGAAACTTTATTTGTTTTCCAGGCTTTAGGACTGGCAATGTGAAAAGAAAACATATAAATAAAGAAGATAGCATGTGGCAAAAGAGCAGGCAATAGACACGAAAATTTAACAGGAAATAGGATAGAATTGATAGAGAAGATTGGAAGAAAAATCCTACCATGCAAGAAAGAATGTGATCCAATAAGAAAGAAGAAATTGTGAGAGCATGGGGGTAGAGGGTTGGGTAAGAAGACAAATTCATAATTATATGACAAAATTGTGAAGTTAATTACTACTTTTTTCTTTGTTTCTGTAAGTAATGATGTACCTTAAATAATAATAATAACGCCAGTTTCTATTACTGACAATTAAAACAGAATTCAGTCTCTAATTTGTTAGGAACGTGAATAAATAAAATAAGGGCTAATTACACAAACATCCTCTCAAGGATTTGATACACTACTTTATACACAGACCTCCCTTCTATTAAGGTAGCATTTGGTTTACTTTTCAAATCCTGATTTTGTTTTTAAAACATGATTTGGATGAAACATGTTAACTAAACATATTTTTAAAATACAACTCAAAATTACTTTCAAAACTATAGTCAAAAAGTCACTACCAAAAAGTCAACTCTTCTCTCTACTTTTTTGCACGTTTTTTCCTAAAAAAACTAAAAGGCCAACTAAAATAGCTAGTTCCCAAAACAACCCTTAGTCTAATATATGGTTTAATGGGAAAAATCAAGTAAATGATTGACCAAGGAAAAACACAAAGTTAATGATCAAGTGAGAAGGTCGATAACTTAAGCTAAAAATATCATATTCACTTTCGATGACGATGAGGACAAATTTCTTTCTCTATAGTGAAATTTTGTATTTCCTTAAAAGAGAGAAATATTTACACTTTTAAATTTTTTTTTTATTTTTTTTACTATTTTAAAATATTTTATTTATTTACTAAATATGAAAATACAAAATTTGAAATGCTTCCATCTCAACCACTTGAGACTTGTACCTTGCCTCATGAGAGGTAAAATGTCTCGCTTTACATATTCGCCTTTAAAAACTTTGATGTGTATTGAATTACATCCTTAGTTCTCTAACCCCTCTTGTACCTCCCAATCATGCAATATTAATCAAATCAGAGCGCTAACAAAATTCCACAAGTTTTGAGTTCCAATCACAACCAAATTTAATTGGGACACTCAATTGTAGCCTAATAAATATTGGAAAACTGAAAACAAGAAAAGAACAGGATCTGACAAGATTAATGGTGTACCTTGCAAGGGCTTGGGACTTACTGTATGAATCTTTTTCAGTGTCTTCTTTTTGTGACAAGTTTTCACATGCGATATTTAAAGTTGAATTTATAAGCTTTTTGAAGAGATAACACAAAGCAGTAAGAACTATACCTATTGACAACAAGAAATAATGCCTGGCATCCTCCATGCTCTGAATTGCAACAATAGCAAGGGGAATCACAAAGTGGAGAGATGCCTTCTCATGAACATGCCAGCCAAACAAAAAGCCACACGTGTAAGCATATGCAACCCATCTAGTGATCATCTTGGGCTGAGGATTCTTCCAAGCCTTAATAAGACATGGAAACAAGGCAAGCATGACCAAGACAAAGGTAATCAAGGGAGTGACCTGGAATCGCATCATTAATTCAAGTAGATGATTAGTTCTTGCTCAAGTTTGGCAACAAGAACATAGAATTATAGAATTATATTTCATCAAACAATTATGAAGCCAACTCATATTCCACCAACTCATCATAAAGAATGTAAATAGTGTTTGTAATCATTTTTAACATGCCCATAAAATCATAATGGCTACAAACTCAAGAACTGGATAGGCAATTCTTCCGCTGCTGTTCTTGATAGAGCAGATAGAGGTTACAAACAATCTAACGTTTGTAACAAATCACATGAAGGACAGAATTACCAATTGAACAGTCAACATTACGAGGATGGAAAATAGTGTACACACACCAATTGACAAAATATACACTGAACATATTATATACTTGTTGAATAAAAATTACCCTCGGTAGAACAGCAAAAGGAGAGGAATCCCCCACTAGTCCACCAGTAAATGAAGCTGTTGGTGCTTGGATGCTGAATCCCAGTTTCGCAAGCATGAAAGCAAGCCCTTTATCGAGAAGTATATAAAACACCCAGAAATTTGGAGCCCAATAGGCATGGCAGAGCCCCCTACCAAATGGAAACATGCGGCGGAAAACTTGCTGGATCTGCAATGCACTATAGTACGGTAAGTGCACAATTTAAAACATAAATGATTATTAGGTCAGCCTGCAGAAAAAAAACAGTTGTGCATGTAACCAAAAGAAACTGAGGGTGAAATTGTGATCAAAATTCAATGACATTTGTAAGGCACAATACATATTGCTGGCAATATTTCTCTAAACTATATCACCAAATAATGCCAAAGGCAACATGTTCTCTAATGCGTCTTTGCCCTTGAGCCTTGTTAACATTCAAACTTTTATGTTTCAATCACACATATACTTGGAGGGCTGATATTTAAACTTCCAAGTAGGCTCATAAAAGCACACCTTTGACCAATTTGACTTGATGAAGAGATAAAGCAATGTCCCATTTTCTGTAGGTTATATTAATTCAATTATGAGACTTGATTGCATCATATTCACCATTTCTTTTTATTAATTTTTTATAAATTTTAATTTTGGCAATTCGCGTATTTAAATCTTGATGCAAGCCACTTAGTTGTTGGATTATGAAAGACTTAATTTCCATTTCTCTATAGAAAATTTTCGTTGCTGAAGAATAAACGCAAATTGATACTATGCAAGTTTGTCCACATATTCGCAAGATAAAGAGAATCAAATGGGCCTAATTGCATAGAGTACGAAAGACTACCTACAAAGTTTGGGAGACAAGTTCCAAGGGAAATCTATACACGGTAAAATAAGGAAGAATGATAGGCCATCGACTAGAAGTGAAGCTGCCACGGGCCAAGCAAGGGGGCTGAACTCAGGAGCAGTGGGCTGGACTGGATGATGGGCCAGAGGAGTGGAAAACAGATAAATTAAAGCTAATTTAGTTGGTGCGGGATTAGCGGAAGAAGTTGAGGTTGTTAAGCGGGATTAGTGGAAGTTGTTAGGGTTGAGAGAAATTGTATAAAGAGGGAGAGAAGGAGAGAGGAAGGTATGATTTTGGTAATGAACTAAATTGGAATCTAACATTTCCCAGAGCTGTAACTCAGTTTCAATCAATACAATATTCCATTTCTCTCTCATTTTCAGTTTCAATCTTTTCTTCAAATTCCCATTGTCACCACCCACCTTATCGCTGGTATCAGAGCCAACAGTTCCTCGGCCGGAATTTACGATGACAGAGACTCGCGCACAGGAACAGGAGAAGATGAAGGAAACAATTCGCCAGTTGCATGAGAGCGACGAACGTTTGGTTTGCCAACAGCATGAGAGTGAAGCACGAACGCAACTTGCTCTCAACCAGCTCAAGGAGATGATCATGGCCCTTTCCCTTGGCTACGATAAAAAAAAATCACTGACAGAAGAATTGGGCGGAGATTCCACTTCACCCCACAACTCCGGCTCCGTTCAAACTCGTTACACCAAAATCGATTTTCCCAAATTCTCAGGTGAGGATCCTACTGGTTGGATCTATAAGTGTGAGTGTTTCTTTGAATTTAACCAGATCGATGAAGGTAGTAAAGTAAAACTAGCTGTGATGCATCTCACTGACAAAGTGATACAGTGGTACCAATGGTTTGAACGAACCCAGAAAATGCCCACCTGGGCTGAATTCTCTCACAAGCTTCAACTGCGTTTTGGGCCCAACGTTTTTGAGGACCCTATGGGAGAATTGATCAAGTTGAGGCAGCTCACGTTTGTTAAGTTGTACCAGGAGCGATTTGAAGAGTTAGCCAACATAACCAAAGGGTTAACAGAAGAGTTCTTTGTCAGCTGTTTTGTCAATGGGTTGTAGGATGAGATCAAAGCTAGAGTCTAAATGTTCCAACCTACCACTATTTCCCATGCCATAGGTTTGGTAAGGTTACAGGAAGAAAGCATTGAAGCCCTTAGTAGACGAAACAAAATTCCCCAAAGATCATCCAACAGCAATTGGTCTTTTCCTTCCCCAACTATTACCAAAACCCCTTTTCTCTAATGGACCTAAACCTAATACCAAAACCCCAACCCCAGTACCCATTGACTCCAAATACCAACCAACCACTTCTTACAACTCAAGCTTAACCAGTACCATCCATTTCCCATCAAACGACTAACTTCCAAGGAAATGGAGGCCAGAAGAGAGAAAGGGCTTTGCTACAATTGTGACGAAAAGTATGTCAAGGGACACAAGTGCCAACGGAAACAATTGCATTTATATTTACTGCTTGGGAAAGACGAGGAACCAGATGCTCCAGCATAAGACTTACAAGAGGATGGAGATTCTCAATTGAGTGATGAAATGCAAATTTTAGTGCATGCTCTATCAGGCAACCTATCCTTTAGGACAATGTGAGTACTTGGGAAGGTTAAGGGAAGGCCAATCACTATCTTAATAGACTCTAGCCGTACCCACAACTTTGTGGAGCCAAATGTTGCCAAGAGTTCTGGACAATCAGCGGAACTCACCACAGACCTGCCAGTCACAGTGGTTGATGGGACCAAATTATGTAGTAAGGGACTGTGCAAGGCCTTCACATGGGAAATGCAGGGAGCCACCTTCACCACAGAGGTGCGTATCCTGGCCATTGGAGGGGGTGACGTGGTGCTTGGGGTGCAGTAGTTGTCCACTTTGGGGCCAATACTACGGGATTTTAAGAACCTCCAAATGCAGTTCCACTTGGATGGATAGGCCATCATTCTCAAGGCAGACACTAGCTGCAAAGTGGAACAAATGTCCAGCAAGCAAGTGAGCAAGGCTTTGCAGCAAACCAACCAAGGCTACCTGGTCCAGTTGTACAGTATCACAGCTGGGTATGTAGAACAAGTATCCACTGATATTACTACCATTTTACATGATTTTAATGATGTATTTGTGGAGCCTAGTACCCTCCCCCTTCAACGAATGATTGACCACAGAATTCCCCTAAAACAAGGAAGTGAACCCGTGCAAGTGAGGCCATATAGGTATCCATACGTACGGAAGAATGAAATAGAAAAAATAGTCAAGAAGATGCCGGATGCTGGAATCATTAGGCCAAGCACGAGTCCTTTTTCCTCCCCTGTGCTATTGGGGAAAAAGAAGGATCACACCTAGAGAATGTGTGTTGATTACAGGGAATTGAACAAGTTGACGATTAAGGACAAATTTCCCATCCCTATAATTGATGAACTATTGGATGAATTGCATGGTGCCAAAGTGTTCACAAAGCTTGATTTAAGAGCTGGATACCATCAAATCAGAGTGAATCCTGAAGACATCTTCAAAACTGCTTTCAGAACTCACGAGGGCCATTACAAATTTTTGGTTATGCCTTTTGGGCTGACCAATGCACCCTCCACTTTTCAAAGCCTAATGAACTCAGCTTTTAAACCCTATCTCAGGAGGTTTGAACTGGTTTTCCTTGATGACATCTTGATATATAGTAAAACTTGGGCTAACCACCTTCACTACTTGCAAACCACTTTACAATTACGGAGGACCAACAAGCTTTATGTCAAGAAGTCTAAGTGTGCCTTTGGACAACAATCTTTGGAGTATTTAGGGCATATCATTTATGGACAGGGTGTGGTAGTAGACCCAGTGGCCTAGACCAACATCCATCAAGGCATTGCGGGGATTTTTGGGGTTAACCGGTTATTACGGAAGATTTGTGCAGAATTATGGGAAAATTTGTGCACCACTTACCACTCTATTGAAGGAGGACTCCTTTGGATGGACTGAGCAAGCAAAAAATGCTTTCAACACCTTAAAAGCAGCTATGGCCTCCACACCTATGTTAGCTTTACTCAACCATGATAAGGACTTCATTTTGGAGTGTGATGCATCTGGCAAAGGAATAGGGGCAGTACTCATGCAAGAGGGGCATCCCATAGCTTATATTAGCAAGACATTGGCACCCATACATTTGGGGCTATCAACCTATGAGAAAGAGTTATTGGCAGTAGTATATGATGTCCACAAATGGGGACACTACCTTTTGAGACAACATTTCACCACAAAGACTGACCATATCAGTCTTAAGTACCTACTAGACCAAAAGATTTCCACTACTATGCAACAAAAGTGGCTCACAAAGTTGTTTGGTTATGACTATGACAATGTTTTCAAGGCTGGGCAAGAGAACAGAGCTGCAGATGCTTTATCCAAATAGGGCATGGAGCAAGTTTGCACCATCTCAGCTCTCTTAGTTGTCCAAACTGAGTGGCTCAATTCTCTCAAACAGGAATGGCATACTGACCCAACCCTCAAAACACTCATTGAGGGCTTAACCAATGACCTAACCGCACACCCAGGCTATTCTTGGACACATGGGCTATTGACCAACAAAGGAAGACTAGTAGTGGGATCAACTGCACAGCTCAAGGAATTGCTTATGTAGGAGATACATACTACCCCTTTGGGAGGACATTCTGGTACCAAAAAAACTTATCACCGAACAAGAAGATCCTTCTAGTGGAAGGGCATGAGGAGGGACATATATGCTTTTGTGACTCAATGTGATATTTGTCAGAGGAACAAAACTAAGGCAGTAGCTTCCCCAGGCCTACTGTAGCCATTGCCAATCCCAGAAGGCATTTGGTCTGATATATCTATGAACTTTGTGAAAAGACTCCCCAATTCCCATAGCAAGACTGTCATATACTTGTGTTAGTGGACAGATTGTCCAAATACACCCATTTCATTGCCCTATCCCATCCTTATATAGCTGTGGAAGTAGCCCAAGCATTCTTGGATACCATCTACAACTGCATGGCATGCCTAAATCTATAGTTTCGGATAGGGATCCCATCTTCACCAAAAACCTTTGGAGGGAACTTTTTCAGTTACAAGTAACAAGACTGAACCTCAGCACCTCTTACCACCCTCAAAACTAATGGCCAAACAGAGGTGGTCCATAGGTGTCTTGAGGTTTACCTAAGGTGCATGACAGGAGATAGGCCCAAGGCATGGGCTCAATGGCTGCCCTTGGCTGAGTGGTGGTTCAATACCAACTACCACACTGCCACCAAGTTGACACCATACCAGGTGGTGTATGGCCAAATGCCACCTTCCCACATCCACTATATCCCAGGGGCATCCAATGTGGCTGCAGTTGACCAGTGGGGTAGGGATAGGGAAGCAACTCTAAAGCTACTCAAGGAACACCTAGTCCAAACCCAAAATCACATGAAGCAGCAGGCAAATCAATATCAAATTGAAAGACAATTTGAGGTGGGAGATTGGGTATTCCTAAGATTGCAACCCTACAAGCAAAGTATACTACAATGCTGGTTTAACATCAAATTGTCCCCAAGATTTTAGGGCCATTTCAGGTGTTGAAAAGGGTCGGTCAGGTAGCTTACCAATTGGACCTACCCCCACACTCTAAATTGCACCCAATTTTCCATGGGTCCTTACTCAAGAAGTTGGGAGCCCACACCACACCACAAGCCACACTTCCACTAGTAGGGACTAATGGTGTCATTGAACCTGAACCCATAGCAGTCTTGGACATGCGTTTGATCAAGTATAAAGGTAGGCCAACAACTCAATTATTGGTACAATGGTCTAATTCATACCCAGAGGATGCAACTTGGGAGCTGTACCAAGATCTCCAAGCCAAATTTCCAACTTTCCAACCTAGGGGACAAGGCTCCTTTCAAGGGGGAGGGAATGATAGGCCATCAACTAGAAGTGAAGCTGCCATGGGCCAAGCAAAGGGGCTGAACTCAGGAACAGTGGACTGGACTGGATGATGGGCTAGAGGGTGGGCCAGAGGAGTGGATAACAGATAAATTAAAGCTAATTTAATTGGTGTGGGACTAGCGGAAGAAGTTGAGGTTGTTGAGCGGGATTAGTGGAAATTGTTAGGATTGTTGAGAGAAATTGTATAAAGAGGGAGAGAAGGAGAGAGGAAGGTATGATTTTGGTAATGAAGTAAATTTGGATCTAACGTTTCCCAGAGCTGTAACTCAGTTTCAATCAATGCAATTTTTCATTTCTCTCTCATTTTCAGTTTCAATCTTTTCTTCAAATTCCCATTTTCACCACCCACCTTATCATCTACTCTACAACTCTATCCAACAGATTGTGCAAAGTAATCCAAATAGCCTACATCAATTTTTAACCCAATGACAGCAAGTTCTGCTTGAGCAAACGATCAACCCAAGTTTAAACAACTAGTTACATTCAGGTGGCATACTTTCATTTAGTTCCTCAATGTAGCATCAAATAAAGAAACCATTCTCATAAGTGACATCATCATATCAAAATTCATACTAAAACACAGAAATATTACCTGGCCATAATACACAAATGGCCCATATGCCGCCACAAAAACCGCCACAACCACCGTCCCCATCATCACCAACCGCCCAAACCCCTTCACCAAACCACCCCGACAATAATGCCGCAACAAATACACGAAATAAACCGGAGCAGCCACAGCAAACAAGTGCTTAAAACACAACAAAACAGCGAAAACAAACCCACCCATCAAGTCCTTCCCATCCTCCAACCACGAAAGCGATAACAACAACAAACCCAAAAGAAACCCATTATACTGAAAATGCATATGATCAACGATCAACAACCCTGGTGACCAAACAACCAAAACCCAGATCAAAACTCGCTCTCTCAACCCCAATTTCCGCGTCAATCGATAAACCCCATAGATTAGAACAGTGTCGAAGACAATCACGGTGAGTCTGTGGAAGACGATGAGGGAATTGGAGGAGTAATTGAGGCCATTGTGGAGGTGGACGATTGTGGGGTCGAAGAGGGGGGGAAAGAGGGAGAGAAAGCGCTCGAAGTAGGCGAAGAAGGGAGGGTAGTCGAGAGTCCATGGACTGGTCTCGTCGGAGTACCAGAGGGAGAGAGGGAGGGAGTGAGTGAGGGCGAGCCAGTGGCGGTGGACCTCGAAGTCGGTGCTGCGGTAGGTGGGGATGAGGAGGAGCTTGATGGAGGTGGCGATGAGGAAGAACCAGGCGAGGTCGGCAATGGGGTTGGAAGGGTTTGTGATCTGGTTTTTTGGGGTCTTCGGGTCTGTCATGGTTTGGCAGCAGGGTGAGAGTCAGGGTGGCCCGAAGGCGGTTTAATGGTTATGGGGTTTGAGCTGGTCCAGTGTCCTGTTGCCATGTCAACCCAGGAAAAATGTTGAGAGAAGGGAGTTATTTGTTTTGAGAAATAGAATGGAACGGATTGATAGTGAATGAATCGTTAGTGAGGAAATTAAGTGAAATTATTTTTTTTATGATAGCTGTTAGTGTAGAAATTGTTAAATTATTTTTATATAAAATAATATAAAAAATATAAAAAAAAAATTAAACATTAATATGTTTAAAAAAATACCCAACATGTAAAAAAATTTAAAAAAATAAAAATAAAAATAAAATTCCAGAAAAAAATAAAATAAATAAATTAATGATTTTTACTTAACAAAAAATACAAAAAATTAAACATTAATGTTCAAAAAAAATGTCTAACATGAAAAAATAAAATAAAAAATAAATAAAAATAAAAAATTTCTAGTCTAGCGGACTATTTTTCTAATACCAAGTCTTGGAGGTCCATCCGAATCCCCTTGGGGAGACCTATCCTAATTCGGAGCTTACTATCAATCCCCTCTCCATCTCTCAAAACAAACACAATATTAGTAGGTCTCACCTCACTACTAATCTCAATCTCCTCTCTAACTCTCTAAACAAACGGGGCCTTAAATTATTGAAAAATATTATTTGATTCTTAAGTTATAAAAATAAAAATATATAAATAAATTATTAAGAAGTATTACTTTACCTCTTAAATTATAAAAACATACAATGAGCTTCTTAAATTATTGGCGTATTTCATTTTGACCCATTTTATTAAGGAGTCCAATGGTACGTTTTTATAGTTTAGAATGTCTATTTATAAGTTTTTATAATTTAGGGGGTCAAAGTGATATTTTTCAATAACTTAGGAGATTTCTATGTAAATAAGGTTCAATTAATTCAGTATTTAAAATTGAATGTATTAAGTGATAATTAATTGAGTTTGTTTGATAACTACAATTAATATCACTTAAAAAATTAAGCGCCTCTTAGAATGTATGTTAAAAATTCAAAAGTTTGAGTGATATGAAAGTTATTTAATTCTAACTGAATTTATAAATACTAAACATAAGTATCAACCTAAATTATTATAAACTCACTATTACCATCACCGCCATCACCACCATTTCGAACCCATCTTGATGATCAAACTGTTCAATGTATAAAGCTCATCGAGTATATTATTCTTACAAAAATTCATGTTGATCAGACATCAACAACTACTTGATCCTATTGCATTTGTTTCAATAGCAATTAAGATTTTACAAATAAATCACAGACACACATGCAATATAATTAAGTGACTATCGATATCTGATCAATGTAATTTTCAGAAAATATAATGTACTTGATGAGCCCTATATATTGAACAATATTGATCATCAATATGGAACCGAAGTCAGACCCACTAAGGCCCAATAGGACTGTCTAGTTCGTTTGCAAACTTACCTTTAAAAAAAATGGATAAGTTTTTCTCCAATCCACAATCGGATTGGAGGAAGTTTTTTTGGACCATGTTGGGCCTTGATCCAAGCTTATATCGATAATATAAGTCGTTCAATGTGTAAAACTTATTGAGTATACTATTCTTGCAAAAAAAAAAAATTACGTTGATCAAGTATCGATAATTATTTGATCATATCACATTTGTGTTAACGACAAGTATAATTTTTAAAATAAATTGTTGATAGAAATTTGATCTGATCGAGTGACTATCGATATTTGATTAATTTTTATTTATTTTATTTTTTGTAAAAATGATATACTTGACATACTTTACACATTGAATAGTTGGACCATCAGTATGTGCCTGGATCAGGGCCCACCATGGTCAAACAGCACCAGTCCAATTGCAAACTAGAGAGGGGCATGTCCCTGAAAAAAAGTGGGTAGATTGCACTTACCTCCTAAGATTTTGAGAAAATATTATTAGTCCTATATTTTTTATATAATTATACTAGTCTCTTTTCAAATTTTAATTTGCATTACACTTATGTCATTTTTTTTATTAATAATTTGTGAATCATATAGATAAAAATGTGATGTTGTCATCTCGAATATGCTAGAAGATATGTTTATTTTTATTTATTTTAGTATTTACTCATCATTTACATTATCTTTGATCGCTTCATTTTAATATAACCATGTCAAATCTATAGGGTCTAATTACATTTTTCTGAAACCTCAAAGGAGGTGAGTGTAATTTACCTAAAACAATTAGGAGAAATTACAAAAAAAAAATAAATAAATTAGGATTTGACTCTTTTAACGAAATAAACTCTTAATTTTTAATTTTATCAATTTAAATCCTAAACTTTTGATTTGTACTTGTTCGTCAGAGTGCTAATTCCGACACCACCGACCAGAGTTTTATTTATAGCGATTCCGGTTTTGACCCGTCACTTGTTGTATTCCAAACCCGGGTTTAATGCTTTCATATTATTGTTTACCTCTTGTTCCCCTTGTATCTCTTTAGAATTGGCTTTCAGATTGTAGTTGTGTGTTTGGAACAGGTTAGTTGCTTATTTTTCTAAACCTTTGTTGCCCAAATTTTAGCTCTTTCGCTCGAGCGGGCTTCACAAATTTTGCTTATCTGCTTGAGCGCCATTCTCGCGCTCGAGCGGGATTTGTCAACTCTCAGTACTTTTGCAAACCTTGCAAATACTTGAAGAGTGTGTTCTATGCTCGAGCGACATTTCCTATGCTCGAGCGGGTGGACGTTCGAGCGTCCAGTTCTGTGCTCGAGCGGGGTCCTTCGTCTACAAAACTTCTGGAAATGTGTATTCCACGCTCGAGCGAAACTTTGTGTCTGATGCTCGAGCGTCACTTTCCACGCTCGAGCGGACTACGTGTATAACAGTCTATGAAGATGATGTGTGCTTGGATCAGGGCCCACCATGGTCCAACAGCACCAGTCCAATTACAAACTAGAGAGGGGCATGTCCCTAAAAAAAATTGGGTAGATTGCACTTACCTCCTAAGATTTGGAAAAAATATTATTAGTCCTATATTTTTTATATAACTATACTAGTCTCTTTTCAAATTTTAATTTACATTACACTTATGTCATTTTTTTTTTATTAATAATTTGTGAATCATATAGATAAAAATGTGATGTTGTCATCTCGAATACACTAGAAGATATGTTTATTTTTAGTTATTTTAGTATTTACTAATCATTTACATTATCTTTGATCGCTTCATTTCAATATAACTATGTCAAATCTATAGGGTCTAATTACATTTTTTTGAAACCTCAAAGGAGGTGAGTGTAATTTACCTAAAAAAATTAGGAGAAATTACAAAAAAAATAAATAAATTAGGATTTGACTCTTTTAACGAAATAAACTCTTAATTTTTAATTTTGTCAATTTAAATCCTAAACTTTTGATTTGTACTTGTTCGTCAGAGTGCTAATTCCGACACCACCGACCAGAGTTTTATTTATAGTGATTCCAGTTTTGACCCGTCACTTGTTGTATTCCAAACCCGGGTTTAATGCTTTCATATTATTGTTTACCTCTTGTTCCCCTTGTATCTCTTTAGAATTGGCTTTCAAATTGTAGTTGTATGTTTGGAACAGGTTGGTTGCTTGGTTTTCAAAACTTGTGTTGCCCAGATTTTTGATCCTTCGCTCGAGCGGCTTTTCTTGCGCTCAAGCAAGATATGCGAACTCTTAGTACTTTGCACGTTTGCAAAAGTACTAAAGGGATGTTTTTCACGCTCGAGCAATGTTTTCTACGCTCGAGCGACCTTCATTGCGCTCGAACGGGTTGTCTATTGTCTGCATAAATACTGGATGTGTATATTCTGCGCTCGAGCGGGCCATTTCTTGCACTCGAGCAGAACAAATTATTATGTCTGACGCTCGATCGTCAACTTCTCCGCTCGAGCAAACTATGCGTATATCAGATCGTGAAAATGACTTTTTACAACACTTTTTCAAATCTATTTACTTCAAAACCTTGAGGTGAGACCTTCTCTCTCTAAAACACACTCTCTCTCTACATTCTCATCTAGTTCTAGTGATTTCCTCACCCTAATCCCTTTGTTAAAGAGATAGACCATCTCAAGATCTACATTTTGAACCGAATAAAGTTGGGTTTGAGTGTCTTTGGAGTTCCACCTTTGCTTTGCTCATCTTCTCTCATTGAGGTAGGGATTTTCTACACTTTAATATGGTTTTTAACTTAGTTATTTGTCATTGTGTAATAATAGTGGGATTTGGGTGTAGTTTAGACAAACCTAGAGTTTGGGTTTGAAATGAAATGAGGGGATTTCTTTGTGAATGTAAAATAAATGAGTGTGGGGTTTGAATATGAGACCATGTTGTGTTAAAATGGTTGATTTTGGTACGTGGATTGATATTTTGAAAAAGGAGATTTTTGCCCTAAAATGATTATCATAATAATTTTATATAAATAATTGAAATTAGTGTTGTGAACATGAAATTGGGCAAATATTGAAATAAATGATGAAATTAAATAGGTGATACGTCTCATCTTTGGAAAATTTGTATAGAGCATCTGTTTTGAGATTGCTTATCTGTTTAGAAATATCTGTATTGAGTTATCGGTGGAGGATAACTTTAATTGTTATAGAAATTGCATGTGGATTAGGTGAATTGAAACTAATCTCTTGTTAGTTGTCATTGAATATGACTATGTTTATATGCATTGTATATGTATGATTATTTGGGAGAAGAAAGGGGATGTACTCCAAGTGTGATTATGTATTTAAATACATTGTATATGTGTGACTGTTTGGAGGATAAAGGGGATAGATTCCATCATAATTAAGTTGGTCCGAGTGTCCTAGGTGAAAGTCCCGAAATTTATACATGGGTGACGATTCCATAGACGAAATATCCGTAATGTGACACCTCGAATCTACACTATGGGTTGCAGTTAAGGGAGAGTCACTAATGAGTCCTATGGTCAATAACCAAGTAAGATCCCAAATTATCGGAGGAGTCAAATTAGCCTCCCTTCTAAGTCCGACTTTCTTAGGCAGCGCACTACCCTTTTGATAGATCTTAACAAGTATTGACACAAGGTCTCATAAGCAACGATAAGG